TGCTACTAGGAACAAGTGCCTTACTAGTAGTAACAAGATGCTACTAGTAACATTGTACAAGAAAACACTTATTTTCTCGACCTTCGTTCCCAAGGTTCCCGATCGCCTCAGATCGTCCACGATCGTCCACCGCAGGTATTTACGGCATCCCCGCACACGCAGAGTCCGTGCTCAAGATCGTGCCCAGCACTGGCCGCTGGTCGGGCAGAGCTCATATTGAGAGATCCTTTAAGGGACGGCCTTTTACTTGTAGGATATGATACAGGTGATACAGGTGATACAGGTACTGAGCGTTCGAGCAAGGGTGGTTGGCATAAGGCCTGGATGGAGGTATGCCATTACATGCACACATAGCTGCAATGTAGTTGCCTAATCTATCCTGATCTTAACCATCGATTTTCTTTCCACACCAGCATGCATTGGCATCGTTTCTCCTCCAGAATCATCCCCAACATCCACATTTCTTCACCCGGTGTTGAAAAGATCCTTTTCTCACCGTCTGACTGGTGCTTAGTAGGGAATGAGGGAAGTTTCGCCCCAATAGAGATTCCTTTGGATCCAGCCACCCTCATTCCCTACCACTAAGCACCAGTCAGCCATGTTTTCCGACCGGTTTTCAGGTCTCCACCGTCCGAGGCGAGGTGCAGCAGTTGGGCCACGTGGGCTCCGGCCGTTGGAAGTGGCACGGCGCGCAGCTGGGCCCCGACGGCGCGGTCTACGGGATTCCCTGCAACGCCCGGAGCACCAGTTGAGTTCCGCGGCGTGCCGAGTTGAGTTCCCTCTTTTTTGAGCTGAAGACAGCTGAACACACCCTTGAACAATGAACAATGTTTTCTTGAGAAAACACTTCAGCTGTCTTCAGTGAGACGTACACGCTCTCACACCTACAGTGGTGATGATATTGACTGTCTTGTGTCATGTTTTGATGACATGAATTTCAATCGGAGTGACATGTGTTCAGAAGATCGTCGTTTTTCAGTGGATGGGAGAAGCCAGAAAGACTTTGACAGGCTTCGCTTGGTCGTTCACGCGCTCGCTTTGGGAGACCGATCAGGCCAAGGGCGTCCTGAAGATCGATCCGGAGACCGATCAGGCTCGGGTGGGGTGAGGAGGTGCACTGCTGGGTTCTCAGCCGTGTGTTCGTGTCCACCACGTCGTGAGTGTGGGCGCTTAATGTAGTGTATTTTGGATAATACTAGTTTGCGAACTATACAGCCTATACAGCTGATTTTCTCACCGGGTGACTCTTTAGGTGAAAGAACGTGCGTTCCTCGATGTTTTTGAATGCTCACCTACTTATACTGTCCAGTTCACAAGACATTGATCTGAAAGTTCATTCTCGGCCTTTTATACACCTCTTTTAAAGGCCCATCGATTGTGCTTCTTTGCTTCAGGTGGAGGTCCTAGGGAGCTTGCCTGATGGCTGCAACAAATGGTATGGCAAGCTGACCCAGAGTGCTGTGCTTTAGATTCCTTTAGTGCCATCACCAAATCGGTTCCTGAGTTTAGGGAACTAAAGATCTCCAGAATCAGCACCTACCGTCACCTATCTTGTTCAATCGAATCTGAGGGCATTTCTCCTTTGCCAAATCTGAGATTCTCCTAGGTGGCCTGTTGGGTGGAGATGGTGCCATCTACGGCATCCCCTACAACGCGCCCAAGGTTCTCAAGCTTCTTGGCGGCCTTTCTTGCACAGGATGGATGGAATTGCAAAAGCTATTTGAATTGTAATATAGCTGAAGTTTCACCAAAAAACATAAGAAACAGCTGAAGACAGCTGAAGACACCCTTGAACCCTCCACAGCTGAAGAACAAGCATCCCTTCAAACCCTTTTGGGCTCTCTGAGTCACCCTTGAACCTCTCCTTGAACCTCTCCTTGATTCTCCTCGCTCCTCCACAGCTACAGCTGAGGATTTGTCCCAGCACCGGAAGCATCAGCACCTTTGGCCAGCTGCCGGAGGGCTGTTGGAAGTGGCATGGCCCCACGGCCGGGAAGTTTAGCAACGCGGCGGTGGTGCGTGTGGCGGCGGTCGGTGCGCGTGAGCCCCATCAGACCATACTTAGCATATTCTTGTTCCACACGTGTTGTTACATTGTTTGCTGCATGTCTGAGTCAATCGCTTCAAGGGATTTGTGTAGTGATGGCCGTTTCCTTTATTGAACAACAACTACTGAGAACAACTCGTTGGGAAGTTCATGTGGGTGGGACGACTTGAAGCTTACCATGTTCTTGACTCCTTGACTTTGGCAAATTAGCTGTTCAAGGTCATGCCCAGCATGGCAGCATAGTTACAATACTTGAGATCCAACAAAGAGCGGTCATCAGCAGGTGTCCAACTATCTTCACCTACCCAAATTGGGATAGTGGGAAATTACAATGCTTCCGGATAGTTTTAATATATGTGGGTGAAGACGATCATCCAAATAAAAATGTCACCCGCAAATACTGGACCGAAATATCACCTCCCCAAAAGACAGACACATGGCGTATCATAATCTCTCTGTTTCTGTTGTTTGTTATGTCCAATAGGTGCTTTAATGCTTTGCACAAAAATCTACGAAACAAAAAACGGCTTTGACTTTAAGATGGCGAAGCCTTTTGAAGCCTTCCGATGGCGCTGTTTCATAGGTCCCGCCGCCCGCCCCAGGTGGAACCGTCGGCCCTGATGGCGCCATCTACGGCATCCCCTCGCACGCGCGAGCGGTGCGCCGAACGAAGACGCTGATGGACTCGGACTGTACAACCTTAAGGACCTTACTGTAGGGTAGTTGCAGGATGTTCCAAGGGGAAAGCTGTGTAGCAGGAGTTCATTCTACTTTGCATCAGAAATTCCGTCCATCTCTTCATGTGCATTTGAAAGGATCTTCGTCCAGACACAACGATTGACATGGGGTTTTGCATTGACCATCATTTTGGAACTCTTTTCACCTCGCTACTCAGCTTTGCACTCGTCGCTTCGGGAGTCTACCTGCACCCGCAGGTCCTGCGGATCGAGCCCGGTCAAGGCTCGAAGCAACGAGTGGGATGGGTATGTCAGGTGGAGATGTCACAAGACGGGTGAGGTCGGAGGAGGAGCCCGGCCCAATCTTCAGCGCTCAAAACGAACTCAACGAGTCCGCAGAACACTCGAGCAACTGTGCCGTTGGTCATCAACTTGGATCCCCAATAAATGATCTTCGCAGCTGTTACAGCTGTTAGTCATTGACAAGTAGGATCAATAGTAGGACACCTGTGATTCATGGATCAATCACTATACAACTTCACTGGCTACAATGACTTAGAAGTTTGAAACATGCATGTTGTGTACCTGTTTTGAATCAAATGCCGAAAGCACCAAGAAACCTTTTTGATCAGCCAGCACTGCTTCAACAAACTGAGTTTCCCGGAAGTGCTTTTTCTACATCAGCAGACCCACTGAAATCGACCGATCGACCTTGACGAGGCCCAAAGATGGCCTTGTTGGGCGATCTCACCACGCAGCCTTTCAAGTGGGGCGGCGGTTGTGGCGACGACCGCTTCGTGTACCTTGGGAGTAATGACGGAGGAGGATGTGCGACCGGCGGTGTTCTTGGTCCTCAGTGTCGATGACTCCCTTGTAGATTGGCAGATACAGTGACAGGTAGTTTCACATCCTTCCTTCATTTGGCCTTTCTCAGGTATGGCTTCCCCAGCAATCATGCATCTTGGCTGTTTGGAGGGCTTTGCCGTCCAAATCTTGCCCGGCATGTTTAGTTGTTCATGGCAGGAAGGCTTCAAACTGGGGGAACATTGAACGCAAGGACCATTGCTGCCATGACATTTGTGAGAGAACCTGCCTCAGATGGGCATGCTTCATCATGCTTCCAGATACAGAAGCCACAAACCCATACTGTTGAATCCAACCGTCCGATGGATCCCACACGAAAGGGAACTTGGTCAATCGTCCAGGTCCTGGGAGCCCCACCTTCTCCCCTCGCCATCCGTGTCGAGGATGCCATTCTGAAGATTGACACGATGACTGAGGAAGTCTCCCTGATGGAGCGATCTCGAGCGAGTCCGGTCGAGGTCGGTGTTCTTGGAGAAAAGATGTTCGGGGTTCAAAGCTGGTGTGATGTCTTTGGATTGATTGTCATGGGCAACACCGGCACCGTAAGGGATAGGCTGATGGGACTCACTTGAGAAAACGCTGTTGTTTGGATAACAGCTGCAGCAACATACAAGCTACCTCGCTTCATCAAACCGCTTTAAAAGTGTCCTGTATCGGTCGTTGGAAGCTCATCAAGCTCACTTAGATTCTGACATGCGTTGGTCACATGTGTACAATTTGTGACATGTGTTTTCCCAGGAGGGCTTTCGCTTGCCGGGGAAGTCCAAGTGGCAAGGCGGCATGCGGGCCAAAGATGGTGCTATCTATGCAGCTGGGCTGAGCTTCTGAGGGAAACCGCTTTGTTGAAAGATATGGGGGAACGTAAACGGGACCCCTCAGAGGGATGTAAAAGATAGAGGTGAACTATATATCTATGTCGACTCTATCGATCTGTAATATCAATATCATTGTGTCTTGCAGACTTCGTGATTCTGGGCATACTCGCATAGGGCGCCCCCACAAGTTCAAACGTCTTGCTCAAATGCAGCACGAACCAATCGGTCCATCGGTCCAATGGCCGCCTTCGGCATCACCACCTGCCGAGGCCATCCCCGACCGTGCGTCGGGCGTGCTGCGGATTTGCGACGGCCAAGCGCAGCTCGTGGGGGACTCCCTCGTGGGGCACTTCAAGTGGCTGCTCGGCGGAGTGGGAGCGGGGCGGAGCGATTGGATGTTGGAGACATCCGCAAGATGATTGGAACAAGACGTTTGTGGCTCATATATTGTAGGTGGTGTTGCTGCAACACTGTAGCAAACAAAATTTAACTACTTGCTTCCGTTCTGGCTTCCGGTTCTCCCAAAAATTATGCAGGTTATATATCAGAGTTCTGTGAGTACCTGGAAAGTAGTTGTTGTTCAGACAGCCACTTCCAACACTCTTGAACGTGACCGCAATATCAATACTGTAAATATCGATTGTTCTGTATTCATAAGCTTCAAGACTTCTTGTAAGCTTACATTGTTTGCACCTTCTCCACCTATTTCATCAATACACTACCTTCATGTGGAGACTCCATCAAACGTCTACATCCGACATTTGAGGCAGGGAGCCGTGATGGCCGAGGACGTTGGGCACGTCGAGAGTCTCCAGTCTCCAACGGTAAAAAGCAAGACTCGATGGACCCAGAAGAGTCTAGCTGCCTAGCTTGGCTCAGCCAGAGTTTGTTGTAAATTAAAAGCTAACACATTGATACATTTCAGCAAAAACAATAACTTTCTTGAGTTACTTAATAGCAATGGCCTCCAACCTACTAGCGATGGCCTCCAGCGAAGCGAGTCCTAAAGAGGGCCCTTTGTCCTTTGTCAACCTGCGCAGTCCTTCACTCAGTCCAGAAGTTGTCCATGAAGCGACTTCCTTTATTCTTCTCGCCATCAAGACCGTTCGCGAGGACGGCACCATTGTGGGACTGCCAAATCGAGCGAAGACGGTCCTGGAGATCAAACCAGGTGGGAACCAGGGGAGTTCAGCCAAGAAACTGGTGGCTATTCACCTGCTTCTTTCAACGCTGGCTGTGAATTGTGCGATTGAACTGGCAGAGAACCACTTTCTAAATTCATCTGTGGCTGATTGCTTGCCGCAAATGCCGAGTTGGTCAAATGATTTGAGCGCACTCTCCTCAGTCTCCTCAGCGGCCCAAGCACCACAGTGGGTCCAGCGATGCTAGGGTCCGCGAAGGACTTAGTTTGGTATGCTGACCCCCGTGATCCCGGCAGTGCCAAAGGAGTGTTCGGATGGGAGATTTCAGAGGCATTGCAGGATCAGTGGCAGCTGCCGCTTTTGAGCCAGCTGGTGCCTTCGCAGTGGGGAGATGTGCATTTGTTCGATCTTTGCATCAGCTTTGGCTACCCAAACACAGCTTGGGCAATGGTGGATGCGGGTGTGACTGGCTGCAGGGTAGAGGAACGCCATTTGAAGAGGACTGTGGCGCCCCCAATAAATCCAGGCTTCTGGGAGGGTTGGGAAAGCGAATGGCCTACTTGCTCTTGCGCCGAGCAGTTCAGGAGGTGCAAATTCTGTTGCTTTGGGTTCCCAGCCGAGACAGGGACTAATCAGATATGGACCAAAGACTGGAGTGCCAGTTTAAGGGAGGCTCAACAGGCAGCCCGTGAATCGGCTATGGACCCATTGGTTCAACGCATTCTTGATGCTCTTTGTTCCGGTGCCAAGCTTCCTGAACTGTCTGACGAGGCTGGGGCACACCTTTTGGATATTGCCATTCTGATTGGGAACAAAGAGGCAGCCACACGCCTAGCGGATCTTTGCCAGTTCCGGCCTTTCCGACGATGGAGGTCGGGAAATTTCTTTGTTGAAGTCTTTGAGGATAATGAGTGTTGCCTTTTTGAACTTCGGCTTAGTAACAGGCAGATAGGGCTCAGAGACCCATCCATGGTTGCTGCGGCTCTTGTAGCAGGCGCACAGCTCCTGCGTCTCATGGTTTTCTTTCCTGAGGATCGCTTTTTCGAACCATTTTTTGAGCTTCCAATGTGGCTGGCTTTGGTTCTGTCTGGGCATTGCAGGGAGCTTTCGCACCTTTTGCCCCTGCACTGTGGGAGTGCTGATCAAGAATGGCTAAAGCGCTTTGAAAAAGACGGAGCGGCAAGCCTTCTTCTAAGCAAGTCCGGCTGGAAGGTGACCCGGGTCATAGAAGAGCTTCAAGTGGTTGGCATTCCTTTGACGTCCATCACGTTCAATGCCGGCTTTGATCTTTTTTGGCGGTCGTGGAAGGGACTTTTGTCCTTGCTGGACCTGGCAGTTTTGCAGGAGGACTCGGCCTTAGCCGCCAGGTTGGCTTGCGCTGGGGTGAGTTTGAGCCGCAATGTTGTCCACTGCATTATTGCAGAAAACTTTAAATTAGCTGATGATGATGCAGCCATGATTGCAGTGCGTGCAGCGTCGGGACATGAGATCTGCACCAAGAGGGTCGTCATTTTGCAAGTCTTCCAGAAGATTTGGGGTGGAAGGACACCGCCTGCCGAGCTGCTCAAGGAGGTGCTTGCCTTATCGATTGATGTCCCAGAGATGGTCCGCGAGCTGGACCTGCCGGAGGTTTGGGATGTTTGGGAGAAGTCTTGGGCAAGTCTGAATTCAGCTCCATGCCAAGAGCCCAGCTCCAAAGCTGCGAGTATTGGTGGCGAAGTGCGCATTCAGCAGGAAGCATCAGTGCAGGCAATGCATGAAGTTGATGACCCGCCAGAGCCATCAATTTCCAAAACTACTGGTGAGAATCTTGGACTGGGTGTTTGTGTTGGTGTGGGCCCTCCCTTTTTAAAACTATTTTGATGCGTTTCGACAGTAGCTTCGTGGCAAACAAATCCCATTCTGGGGGCAGCAAGACCTATGGGCATCTTTAGAAACGAGACTTTGCTCGTGTTGGCATCATTTCCCCACATTCAGCAGCCCAGCCCCAACAACCTTTGCCAGATTTTGCCAACCAAGGAACGATGACACGCTGCGAGCACTACAGGCAAGCAGGAATGAGGTGCCTGCACCTCCATTGAATACCGATGGTGTTCGCCTTTTCAGGCTGACGCGGATGAAAAGGTCCAAACATGTGGCCGATGTGCTGCTAGATCCAGAGGGCCCCCTGGCTGCTCTGCACCAACGTGTCATGGAGGCTGGCTGCGAGGTGGATCCAGACTGGAGCCCATTGTATGCATTGTTTGTGCCAATCACCGAGACACAGATGGACGAATTGATTGGCTTAGCGGACGATGGTTCCTTGGGACAATGTTGTTGTTTGTTTTTCACGCAGCATTTGTCTTCCACTCATATTTGGTGCTAGTCGGTTGGGTTTGCATGTTCTTGCCTTTTGGCCGGTGCTTTGCAGATTTACTTTATAAGTTTGTCATGTGTAATTTTATTATAGTTATTGTATTTCGACAATGATTTGACAAGTGCAAACCCATGCGTCATACATGTTCAATCATGTTCATGTGATTTCTTCGATCAACCATACCAGTCGGGGCATAGGTTTGGCACAGTAGACTCCGATAAAACCCATGTGCGTTTCTTTTGAGGCTACGAGCTATTGAAGGACGAGCACATTTTAGCTCTCGAAAGTGATGGACAGACCATGAATCAAGCCTTCAGGAGCAACATCGCGAAGGCGGGTCGGCCAGCCGTCAAGATTGTGGACCCCAATCCAACTCAAGACAATGCCGAAGACATCCACAACCATCAACAGGCTGATGCACCAGATGAAGAAGGGCCAATGTTGGTCGTGGAGGAAGGTTTCCGGACAGATTCTTCGCTGGGATTTCCAGCATCCTCATTTCTACCCTGAGATCCTGTACAGCGCCAGACTGGCAAGTGCTAGCCAAGGTCTCGAGCCTTGATTGCGCCGAAAGCCTTCTGGCTTTGCAAGGTATTTGACCTACTTGTTCTGTATTTCTGTATAGCCATCGCCAGCCAAGGTCCCGAGCCTTGATGGTGATGGATCACGTCGCCTAAATAGGGGGGTCAAAGGCAATAGGCAATTGGGAGGAGTGTTCGTCCAAGCGTTCGTTAGTCCTGATCGGATGGCTCCGAGTTCGGACCGAGGTCACGGCCATGAGTGCAAGGGGTGAAGTTCTCCTTCTCAGGAAGGAGTTCTTTCGTATTGAACTGGCCTTTCCTTTCCCCTGTGGCGCTGCAAACTGCCAGGCCTTTGACTCAGCACCTCGTCGTGCGGAAGGTGGGACCTCGGAGAGGAAATGCCAGCCTCGCAGAGTCTTTGGTGCATTTGGTGATGGGTCCAAGTGCAGGTTGATCTTTCCAAACGAGTTCACGGTGTTCTCCAAGGTGAACTACTTACTTTGATGCGTTCCACTGTTGCATTCACAAATTGGGCAAGGGGATATGCGCCCGGTCATCACCCAATTAGCAAACCGGCATTAAACTTGGGAAACGCCTTTGTGGCTCTTGTGCTTCCGTTGTGCTGGAAAGGGTTGTTGACGATGCCAATAGTGCATACTCAAGTCAGCTACACTTCCGGCATGTTAATGAGGCAAGTGTCGTTTCAACTCTTGTGTGACACAACCCAACAACGACTGATAAAGCCATCAGAAGGGTGGGGGAGAGCGTGTGCATGATCTTCTTAGTGATAACAGTTTGCTCGCACTGACTTGTCAAGATCAAGGTGAATGGACACCAAACTCACAAAACTCGTTGGAATGAGATCGATGAGATCGAGGCAGTATATGATTATATTTGTGTCATGGTTTCATTAGTTTATCATTGGTCGTGCAAGATAAGCCACCATGAGTTCAACGCCCTCACAGAGGTTTATCCCATGTCTTTCATGCGAAACACACGATATGTCTCTGTTGTTGCAACTAAAGAGTCACTGACTTTGGTGTCTTGCTTTTCTGAATTTCGGCCCATGTGTGTCCTTGTAGCTGTGCGCAGGCGGTTCAGACATCTCGCGCCCGGAAGACCGAGCTGGATTCGTTCAAAAGAAGCTCCTGCCGATTTTGAGGCGTGCAAACTCCCCCTACGAAGCCGGTACCGTAGTCCACACTTTCAAAGTCAAAAAGGCCTGAGGCTTCTTTAGTTTCTGCCGCGAGAGGAGGTAAGCAGCTGGATCATCCACAAGACTCTTGGCATGGCGTTCGGGAATCGTGATTCCCATTGGTTTTGCTACTTCCAATAGTTTGGTATCCCTAAGGGTGAGCCTACTAAAGCTCAGACATGACACTGTGAAAAGCCTGCGCACTTTTACTGCTTCTTGAGGCACCTTGCTTTGCCGCTACTCGCCGTTTCATCAAGCTTTGAAGCATAGCATGGAAGTGAACACGGTGCAAGAATTGTCAAGGGTGAGGGATGAAGGTTCAATTGACATGTCCAACCAAACAGCATAGAGCCATGACATGTCCACATATTCTTGCTTCACAAACTACAAGTACCTTGTTGGATGTCCTTTGCTGCCACCAGTGCAGCAATCGTATTTGCTCCGATCCCCAGCGGAACCGGGCTGTGGAACCGGGTGGACTGAAAACTCAGGCATCGTCGTGCGTCGGGCAGATGCGTCGTGTGAGTCAAGTGGTCTCACCCTCGGTGGATGACAGAAGACATAGAAAACACAAAGATTGCACAGATCGAGCCGTCGCTCTGAAACAATGTTCTCCAAGGTTTGTTCCTCTACATACAAGCTGCCATCTCACATAGACTGTCCCTAATTGCTCTTTCTTGCCGTCGCAAGTAGCCAAAGTGTGGACTCCGAAGTTCCACCAGGAGCGCCATTTTCCTTTTCATAGGAAGGCTTTGAAGAATTCCATGGATTGCACAGCTGACACTCCCTGAAGACCCCCAGCGTTGAACCTGATGTGATTTCGGAGATTGTCCATGTGCTTCTGACCTGAGTTAATGAATCTGCAGCTATCTGCGATGGTCGCCCAAGTCAATTTCTCGACTCAGATGTCGGTTTTTGTCCAAAGGCTGCACTGATAGCATATGTCATGCGATATGTCAGAACCCCCAGCCCTTTCCGCACCTGCCTGCAGGTGACCACCTGCTCCACTTGCCCGGCAGCTGGCCATGTGTGAGGGCAACTGCGCGTGCAATTTGGCAGCGAAGGTGAGCTTCGGCGTCTCCGTGGTCTTGGTCCTCATTGGCTCCATCGTGTCGCTTGGCCATCAAGGAATAGCTGGAAAGAGGAAAAGCGATGGTTGGAAAGTGACGGGCTTTCTTCCTGTAGTTGAGGTCTAACCTTCGTCAGTTCTTCCTCCTTTCCATCAGCAGCACGTTCTCCATCCTTGTCCCTTCCGGTTCCTCACCACAGAGCCCCCTACCACCACCGTAGATCCACCCCGGTGGCCCCAGTCTCCGTGTCGCCTGCGCTTCCGCTTCCGAGGTACGCCATCGGGGCGATCCAGGCAGCGGACCTGGCGGCCTCGAGCATCATCGTGGATGGCCAGAGGCGGGCGCCAGCCGCTTTTGCGCACCACCACGTGCGAGAGAATCCAAGGGGAGGTCTACGAAAGAGTTCTTTCCTTTTCCTAGAATGGTATAATATATGATGTGTATGATTATGTATGTCTTGTTTCTGCAACGTGCACAAATCAATTAATACTATAATGGTAAGTTTATGGTTTGTAGGTAGCAGCATGTTTGCAACATGTTGCAGATTCCCTCTTTCTAGATCGACATTTTTGAGCGCCCATCAGCACTTGCACAAGATTGAGTAGTTCAAGTTCTAGGACTTGCTAGGACTTTGTAGGCGCATCAGTCAACATCTCTGCAACCAATTGCGGCGGCCTAAGCCGTAGCCTGGCAGGAGCTTTACATTGCAGGCGGAAGAGGGCAAGTGTCCTGACTTGCTTGGCTTGGGGAGACGCCCGTAGGACCGTAGGATTCGGCCCCAAGTTGATTTGCTACTCAGTGGATCGTACCCCCGCAACTGAGGGGCTTGAATGCAGGAAGCCTGCAGGTTGAACTGAATGATGAAGCGTTTCTCTTTTTGCGTGAATTATGAGATGGCTTTGTGGCATTCCCCACCAGATGAGATAGCTCAGGGAACCTGAGGTCACATGTCAAGCTGTCATTGGGAGTCCTGCGAAGCAGCCACCATTGAGTGGGGTCGCCCAACATGAAGCCACAGCAAACCAGTCAGAACAGACAAAGGAAACCGGAGAATCCCCCACTCTGGGACGCTCTCAGCATCACACCCAGAGAATCCTTGATTGCACAGCTCAGGTACCTGGCAGGCTTCACCTTCTTCGGCACCTTGGCCGATAAAACCGAAGAGAACATGAAGATCGGAATCCATGTGGAATTGGAATCCATGAAAACTCAGATTCTTAGCAACCAAAGATGTCCAAAATCATGAAACCCACCGAACTAATTCTTGTCTTCCATGAAGCAGAATTCCCACCGAACAGCGGATGCACAGAAACATACAGAAGCCCAAAACGGCTGAATGCTTCGGCGGTATTTGGCAACAAACATGCCACACGCAACAAATGTTCATTGAGGTGGTTGGGAGGTGGTTGGGAGAGGTCATGCAGAATCAGACACCTTTTGCGGTGCAGACCACTGGCTTACACACCATGCTTGGAGTTTGTTTTGCGCAATCGGACACAGCAAGGCTGCAGAATAGAGTTTTCCCTACAGAACACACTCGCCAGTTCAATTTGTGGCATGCCGATGTACAATGACGAGGTCACGATTTGGATGCGCTGCAAATGGCAAAATATGACAAACAGTGTTGTGGCGGAGATCTGCGTTAATATGGCAGAAATTGGATGAAATTTATGAGACCTGAACTATTGTAAATGTGTCGACTGGCAGGTTGACGAGACGCCATGTGTTGAAGCTGACCGGTCCACCTGTGGTCTAGGTCGAACTTCGAAGCCCACACGTCATGCACACGATTCGTGTGCTGAAAGCAATCTTTTCAGCGCGCAGCTTCGAGCTACGGCGCCCAAGGTCACAGAGGCATGGCCTGCGAGATGCACTCGCAGGAGGCGAACGACCTTTGTGCGTGCGTGTGCCGATGCATGGACTATACAAAGCACAGCACAATGTGAAGTTGTACCACTTGGTTATAACGGAACTCCAATCTCCTGAAAGATTGAATTAGAGGCTCTTGTTTGGTTGCTAAAGGTAGCAATTTGTCCTCCCCGGAGACCGTCGGACAAAATGAATTTGACTAGAACCCATGAGCAGCATGAGTGCGGCGCACGAGAATGCACGGTACTCCTACTCGGCAGCGTACGCGTGAACGTCGACTCTCGTCGCCCAGATCGAGAGTCAAATCCCTGCGAACGCGGGCTTCTACGAGAGCATGTGCGGCTGGAGACGAGGCGGGTGGCTTTGGTTTGGAGAGGGGGAGTCGATCCCCGGCAACGAGGCTTAGCTATTTTTGGTGGAAGTCTCTTGGGTACTTACTGTATCTTATATGTATTTACAAAGTTACAAAGTTACGAAATCCTAACTCTTTTTATATGATCAACTCCACTATAAACACCCCTTTGTGGCCATTTCATCCACTTTTTTCGAAAAGTGATGCGCATTGAGACGCGTTCAACACGGATCCAGCGTGTTTGGCGTACGTTTTTTGTTTCGAGAAAACAACGCCGCGGAAGGAAGCTTGAAGCACAACGGTCAGGAGGTCAAGGCTGTCGGTCATTACAGCCCCTACGACGCTTGGAGTTTGGGAGACGGAGAAGATAATGTTGGCGCAGACGCGCTGAAGGAACTGAAGCTGACAGTAAAACCAGAGGAGTGGAACTATAACCGAAGCAGCCTAAGCAGCTCAGGTTTGAACTTGGACTCAAAGAGCCATAACGATATCGTTTAGTAGAAGAAATGAAAACCAAAGGAGACATTGAGAATCATCTGAGATGCAAAAAGAAAGGCACAACAACTTAGCCATTTGTTTTGGGCCGTGTTCTTCGGGTGTTCGTACCGGGTGTTCTTCGCACCCTTCTTCGAGGACAACGATCTCAATTTCTACTCCTTGCCCATCGCCTTCGTCACCACCTCTCCCACCTGGGCCGCTCGGACGCCGGGGGGAACGGCAGACCGACCTGGCGCCCACGGTGGGCGGGCGGCCACGGTTCTCAGGTGCAGCAGAGTCTTCTGCGGTTGGTTTTGATTGCATGAAACATGTGACCAAGAGTCGCAAAGTTCCAAGTGGAGGATCGTTTGCCTTTTTTTACCACAAAAGTTCCAGTTCAGGTGCTTTGCGCATACCAAATGACACATGTGCAGGGCAAGGTCTGCACCTGAATGTTGTTCTTTATGTTGGAATTCACCAACGGATGGACCGTGTTCTCGGCTTCATAAAGCACCAAAAACTAGATGAACAACATGACATGAGTCAACAGGAACGGTGGCGCACGGGTCGTCGCCCCAACAGGAGAGTGTTGGCCCCAAAAGCGGGTTCTCGATATGGAGAGGACGGAGAGGATTTCTCACGACGAGATCTTCGCTGTTCATGTCATGCTGAAGACGAAGAGAACCAAATCAGGTGGGAAGGACCGCAGGTTCTCAGAGCAGGATCCTGTTTTCTTTTTTTTTAAACTCATGAGCTCTTTATAAAGTACTAATCTGGAGAATACGAATTGAAAAGCACGGGGTGCATGTACACCGATGTAGAGAAAGGACATGAAAGGACCTCTTGACCTCTCATCGACGGCCCTGAGGGAAACCTTGAGCTCTTTTTTGAATGTGTGTTGAATCACAGCGAAGTACGAGGTTGGCAGCCGAAAAAAAACATGAAAGGGACCGGAACATGTTCCTCATTTGTGGGTTGAAGCCTGAAACATGCTCCTTTGGATTTTTTTGTGGGATGTTCTTCAAACCAATTGAATGCGAATGCCCCCTCTTCATGGCATGATTTCCTGGGTCAACCACCTTTTACACACTGGCTAATCATCCTTGTGGATTGAGATTGTGAAGACTTCAACTAATTGGCGTGTTTGATTTTGGTTTTTGCCGACACAAACGACGTGTGTATTTCGGAGCACCGATCCACCTTCGCTTGCTTCTCACCGAGTCGAGTCGAAGTCGAGAAAACGTCGAGTCTCCTCGTGGCGGGTGATGAGGTGCTGGACGCTGCAATCGACCCGAGCACCGTCAGTGACGCCTTGGCATTGGTGGGGATCACCATGATCGGCTTCCTCATTCTGACGCTTGAGCCAAGAAAGAAGGGCAACAAGATGCAACAAGACGAAAGAAAGAAAACCAGTCCCAAAAGTGGGAGCAGCAGATTTTTGGTTCGGTTCTTTGGTTGATTCTGGTGTCCACTATGGAGACCTTATCATGAACTATGATTGCGATCTATCATGAGAGCCTCCAGGAGGGCACAACGAAGCTACTCATACCCAATCCGTAACGAGCAGACTCCCTGGTTCCCAGAGTATCATTATTATGAGGACTTTTTTGTGTACAGGCGTTGCAATTCACCTGACCACATCGTGTTCCATCATTCACAAGCCTGAAACTCTTGTTTGTCATGTGAATGAAGAAACAGGTGTGCCGGACACCATGTGATGTAATGACTTTTCACATGTTTGTTTGGCACATGGTTTGCAGGAAACGGATAGGACACGGTTATGGTGTGTTTGCGATGCCCAGGTGTGCTGGAGTCATCATGTGCTTCGTGACTTGCTGCGCCATGTGCTGCAACCCGGACAGCTTCCCCGCTCACACGATCCGCGTGTTTTTCGATCCGTGTGGTCGCTGAGATCAAACGAAGTGCTCGGTGTAGATCATGTGGTTCCATTTTACTAGTACGTAGCTTCTTGTTACTCGTAGAAATGGCCTCCAACCTAATAGCTTCTTGTTACTAGCTTTTTTCTATCCACCTTCATTGTCGGACAGAAGTGCCCTCAGAGAAACTAAACTACATGAACAGGCAACTCACCGAAACTTTGAATACATTTCCATACTGCAGTTCCTAGTGAGGCGTAATTCGCGTGTAAATTCGTCAAGCCTCCTACAATCTGTTCGAGTATACCCTCCCTGAAACAATCGAAGTGGAGAAATCGTGAGACCATTCCTCTACAAACAGGGGATGAACTCCACTTCCAAGGTTGTTTGGGGGGACTTACTTATACGTTGGTCATCGTCACCCACTCTCGGCTTGGTTTTCGCCCCGTCACAGGAGGCGAGACAGCCAGCGATGGTCACCACCATTGTGCAGCCTCAGCAGCCATGTGTCCTTGGGCAAAATCAGACGCAGTCATGGTGAAAACATGTGAAAACAATAACTATATATATAATTGCTAATTCATGGCTAATGGCTAATTGTGAAATCTTAGGTGATATGTCCTTGGGATATGGCAAGTTTGTCTTAGACACTGGGAAATTTCCACTACAGTATGACCACTCCATCAGCAATGTTTCCCCAAACATGTATGTTTCTTGGTGCATGGGCACTTGTCACTTGACTTGGCTGGAAAATTCGGGAATGGTCTGGTTCTTTTCGGCACGGGAAGAGACCCGGTTGGGACCCGCCGAGTAAAAGCCGTTGGAACCCCAAGCTGTTGGGACCGGTCCCGTCGTGTTCCGACTCCCCACCGTCCGATCGCACACAGCGCAGCGTCTGACGCGATCGGCACCAAAGGCGCCTTACGGCGCCTGAAAAAAGCACCACAACGACAATGGAAGTGGACATCATCTCCAAAGAGGAGAGGCGAAATTGCAATTCCACGATTTTCCCAGATCAAGGAGCCTTCCCGTCTTTCGACCCATCAAGGCCCAGGATTTTCCCTTCTGCCTTTCCTGCCTTTCCCCGTCTTTCGACCAAGTCGGTGCAAGCTTTGCAGCATCAGCCGGTGATCGTGGGGCAGCCAGTGATGGGCCAGGCTGTCGTCGGGCAGCCAGTGCCCGCATAGCGGCCACATGCGGCCGCGGAGAACGGGAGGTTTTTGCCACGGTCGCTTCTCGAAGAGAAGGGGGCCCTGGTACAGATGGATGCCTCGGATGCCTGGCGTTCGCATTTTAAAAACTGAATTTACATGGTGTTCTCTTCAAATATATGTTGTTTTTGCTGTTTGTTATTCAAGGCCAGCCAGAACCCAGCCAGTGAGGCCCAGCGCTTTCTGTCCCAGTTGGGGTCACAGAATGCCAGGAGTCCGAAAACTCATAGATGGAGGGAAGGTATGTGAGGGTTAAACATGCTTATACTGAAGATTCCTTTGAACCATGTTGAAACCGTTGGAAACAGACTAAAATTGAACAAACAACAAACATCAAACATGTTTCATGACGCAGCTGGATGGCGTCCCCCAATGGATGGGACATGATGGGACCGAAGATGGCTTGGATGGCTCCGTATTGCTCCGTCATGCTGAGACAGCCTTGAGAGTAGAAGCCGAAGAATTGACCCCAAGAAGGATTTCGTTATTTTTTTTGTGTGAGTTGGAGTTGGAGTTGGAGTTGTTGTTGTTGTTGTTGTTGTTGTTGTTCTTTGTTTGCATTGTACAAGGAAATGATTGTTGGTGCATGTTGGTACATTGGTACCACCAGTTTCTCTCCATTTTTGGGACGTTGGACATGGGATCCTTAGTCTCAAAATGGATTGGAGGCCATTGCTATTAGGCTATTAGGTGCCTTTTGCTATTAGGAGCAAAGGGCATCGGTACTAGGAGCAAGGACGCCACTAGGGGCTCCTGGCCTTACTACTAGGAGCAAGGACGCTATTAGGAGCAAAGGCCATCGCTATTCGGTTCCTTTTGCTATTCGGTTTGAGGCCTTGCTGGTCAAACATCAGAGCACTTTGGAGTCATCGTGTAGGACTTGAGATCGTCCGTGGCTGTGGGACGCAGTGGGAGGTGGGTGTCCACCTTCCATTTCAGCGTGTTGTTGAAAGACACCAAAATCAGAAGGATCAAACATACATAAATGAAGCGTCCAAAATGGTATCAGATGAATTTTTTGTTGCGTACATCTTGTATCATGTCATCAATTTGAGTGTTATAGTGTTATATTAGTTATATGTATATGTTTCATGTTTGTTGCTTCACTCACCACGATCCCACAAAACGGCTGGCCTCACCCACCTCCCCGGTTGCCCGGAGCTCAGCTCTGGTCTGCTTGAGGCTTTTTTTTCTCCCAATGGAGAAGCCCCGCCTATCCAGTCCATGATCTGGACGCTCCGTGACCGGACGGGTGTTTGTTTTAGGGCGTCCAGAAAAGAACGAAGGCAAAAAAGCCAGGAAGGAAGGAATACAACTTGGCTTTCGCTGCGGTGCTCCCGTGTTTGTGGTATTTCTTTCAGTGGTTTTAGGTGCTCCCGTTTCCATGCTCAACAAAAAACATAAAGCATACTTCGTTATCCTTCTTTAACGCGCTTGTGTTGGTCCTGGACAGATGCTGGCAAGGCTTACAGACTCGGAGTTGTATTGTTTGGGCATTCCAATGTTTCAAAAGTACTCAACAAATAACTTGCTTGGTGAATACTGTATATCAATATTTCAAAAGCGATCGACTGGTAAGTTGCCTTGGTCCCATAGACTAACCAGAGGTGGCTTGCCCCTCATCTAAATAGAGGTGGCTTGCACCTCATTACTTGGCCTTGATTCCCTGTGGTGATTATATCAATGTTTGACAGTGATCGACTGGTAACGTGCCTTGATCTCATAGACTAACCAGAGGTGGCTTGCCCCTCATTCCAACCAGAGGTGGCAGGATCAAAGGTGACAACAGCATTTCAAATGGAGAAGAAACACCAGACTGTACGAAGAAGTTGTCTACCAACACCAAGGACAGCAAGACCTTTCCCGGACATGGGGGAAGGGTTAGCCAACTAAAAAAAAATATGTCCAGCAAAACATCCGAGTCCGAAGCCACGTGTTTCAGTCATGAGACATCCTGTCTTCTGCCGCTCCTGTTCATTCCATGCCACATCAAGATAATGAAAATGATTTTTTTGCATACCATGGAAGTCCGGGTGCAAGATTCGCTGGGGTGTCACATCTCAGGTGAGCAACAGATGGTTGGTTGGTTGATAGTCACTTGGAACCAACCATCCACACAACTTATTAAATGATATAGAAATAGGTCACGTCATCGTGTCTTTTTTTGGCACAGCAATCATCTCCGCTCCTATGCCATCCGTCCTGCCAATAGCTCTAATGCCTGAAGCGGACTGAGAACTCAGCCATCGTCGTGGCAGGCGGTCCCCTGTGTGGGTTCGCCGCTTTAATGCACAGAGAGGTCGGTTCTTTTTTTTGATTTGTTTTTTCGTGGGTTCGTCCCTTTGCAGATCTAGGCTACGACATGCTACGACTGTCGCTGTCCCTAGTTACTACGACGTGTGGATTCAGAAGTTTCACCGGTGTTAGTGGCGGTTCTCAGCGGCAGGTGTTCGATTTCCATCCCCTCCATGTTTGGCACAACACAAACCCCCAAAGGTGAGCATTAAACATACGACGGGTCGACGGATCTACAGTCCCTTTTTCGGGGTCCAAGTTGGGAGGGCTCCCCATTTGAGCTACACACCCAGCTTGTAAGCCCTGTTGGTGAGCCTTTGCAGCATTTTGCAGCTATCACCCAGTCAGTTGTCTCAACTCAGTTGTGCGAATTGCCCAGAGACAACGCCGATGTTCGGGCTGATTTCTTGCTAACTTGCCCGAAAAGTTTTTGGCCAAATTTGCTAGCTAGCCGTCTCCCTTGATTCATTCCATCCGCCCGAAGAAGCAAGTCATTATTTCCGCACCAGCCGGGAAGCCCGGTGGCCACCTGCTTTCACAGGCCGCCGGCAGCTCTTCGCCATGTGCGAGGGCAACTGCGTGTGGTCTTAGTCCTCATCGGCTCCATCCTGTCGCTCGGCCAGAAACGGTTTTCTCGGCGATTGGAGCTGGATGCCAGGGCTGATGGATGGTGGGCCCATGGTTTGGCTGTTGCTTTTGCGGTGTTTTCTCCTTTCCAACAAAAGCTCCGTGCAATGTGTTTCCGCCCACAGCTCCGTGACACCAATGACACCAGTGATATGACTTCGTTTTTTTTCAGAATGGTCGACCGTTCCGTCACCGTTCCGTCACCGTCCCGTCCCCACGGAGCACGTTGAAGCTCTCCGCCGACGGAGCGCACGGAGGTTCACCGGGTGGTGCGATCCAGGGAGCCACCATGAGCTCTTGGCAGTGATTGGCTTCTTCGTCGTGATGCTTGGGTTTAAGGAAGGGCACAAAGGGAAGGAAGATGGAAAGTTGAAAGAAAAAGTGGCAGCTGCAGATCATTGTTTTGTTCGGTTGATGCTTTTGCCTGTAATGAAGACCACTGTGGAGACCCATTATGCACTACTAATTATGACTATCTATTATCATGTGACCCTCCCAGGAGACCACCACAAAGCTATACTCATACCCAATATCCGTCACAAGCACATAGCACACTCCCTGATTCCCAGTGCGATGTCATGAGGTGTTTGGGGTGACCCGCTTGGCCATTCACCAGACGACCTCAGACGGTCAGCTTCGCCACGTCGCTGGTGCCGTCGTGCTGCAACCCGGAGAGCTTCCCCGGTCGGAGACGAAACGGTCGTGCGGGCGCTGGAATCGAGCGAAACTGCTCAGTGTGGGTGATGACCATGTTGATCAAAATTACCCTCAAAGGCAACTCTGCGAGGGTTTGGGCAGATGCTTTTCCTTACTTGTTGCTAGTGAGAGGCAACATGGGGAAATGATAGATTTAGTGTGGAAATTAATCTATATTTCCCTACAATACAATAGAAGGAGAAGGACATGTTCTTTTGAAATCATCCATTGTGGATGACTAGAAGACATACCACCAGGGGAAGCATTTTGCTCCTTCACTGCTCCTTCACCTTCTATGAACCCAAGAGCTAGTGGTGTTCCTTGGGGTGTGTTTTACTACGTTTCTTCTCATGAGCATCACAGTCTCATTGCGTCTCACCATCTGAAAACCACATCCGACATACCCGTTGGCACCGCTACCAGCCACAGCACTTCAACCCCCCGTACCGGCGCGTCGATTCACAGGAGGCGCGACGACCAGCGGTGGTCACCGATGTGCAACATCAGCAACCGTGTGTCCTTGGGCGCAATCAGACGCTGTGGGAAGAGGAAATTTCTACGACTATAGACAGTATGATCACTGAGCACCAATTTTATACAAGAAGCTATTAGAAACAATAAGCTACTAGGAACAAGTGCATCGCTACTAGTAACAAGTGCCTTACTAGTAGTAACAAGAAGCTATTAGAAACAATAAACAAGTGCCATGGGTACTTTACCCTGAAGCACAATCGGATTTTGCAATTCAATGGTTTCGGGCCTCGTTTGACAGATGCAGCGATGCAGCGCGATAGTGTCTTTTTTGGACCGGTCTGAAAGCAGATCATCTCGCAAAGGGGATTGAAGGACTTTTGAGCTGCCAAAACAGTCCATGATTTTCCAAGATCAAGGAGCCAATGCCTAGGTGTCTTGACCATCTCCCTTTCCACGTCTACTCTCCTTTCGACGTTCGACCGAGTCGGTGCAAGCGCAGCCGGTGATCGTGGGGCAGCCGGTGAGGGCCCAGGTGGTCGGACCCGCGTAGCGGCCGCGTGTCCGCGTGTAGCGGCCGCATGCCGTGTAGCGGTTTGGTTCTTCCGTTCACAAGAGATGCCACGGTGAAACCATCGTGCCTGTGGGACTCAAAGAGGTGGACGTACTCCACTCTAAGCTTTTGGTTTTCCATGGCCCAACGGCAGAAGGAAAAAGACATGCTATGGTTACCGGCCGTTGTTATTATTTTGTGTGTGTTCTTGTTCTTTCAGATTCCCTGTATCGAATTCTATACAGTTTATCAGTTGTTGCTGTGAATCGCCTAGAGGCCCCACCACGGGTTCACCCACCGGACCCACCTATTCGAATCAGATCGAGCCGTCAGC